CTTATTGATTTGTAGGTGTTCACATATTCTAGACAAGAATCCCTTGCCAGATGTATGCATATGGATATGTTCTAACAATCTGTGGCTTCCCTTTTTATTCTTTTATCAGTACTTTTAATCAGAATAAAAGTTCTAAATGTTAATGTGACCCACATTTTTCTTTCCCTTTATGGTTGGTGCTTCATGTGTCTTCTTTAAAAAATCTTTGCCTACCCCAAACTGAGGGAGATACGCTATCTTCAGGAAGCTTTGTTTTTTTACTTTTCTTAAGTATATGACCCATCTCTAATTAACTTTTGTGTGTGGTGTGAAGTAGGAGTTATGGACCATTTTTTTCACACAGAGATACAACGAACCCATTGCCATATATTGAAAAGACAACTCCTTTTTCACTGCACTGCAAGGTCACTTTTGTCAGAAATCAAGTGACAGCATGTATGCAGATCTGCTTGGGGGTCTTTATTCTGTTCCTTCATCTACTTGTCTGTCCTTGCGCTAATGCTAGATTGCATTAATTACTGTGGTTTTAATGTAGATCTTGAGAATTGGTATATAAACCCTCCACCCTGCTCCTTTCCTTCAAGATTGTCGTGGCCCTTGGCAGCATTAGCCTAATTTGACAATTTCTGCCTCTCTCTCTTTCTCTCATGCACTGCTGCTGACTAGTATCAATAATGAAATAAATAACAATATGATTAAAAACTAAAAAATTAAATATCCTTGCATCCATACTGACATCAAGAAATAAGTGCGGGAAAGGGGACAGATCTTCCTTACAGAATAATCCCAAATAATCCCAAGTCATTAATGTAGAAGGACTGAGCAAAATAGAAAATCACACTAGTATGCCATAGTAAAAACCACTACAAGCAAAACCCACTGATGAATGCAGAATTAGTGGTTACCAGTTCAAGGAAACACAGGATACTTGCATAGCCTTAACACATCTCCCTAAAATGCTGTTCATGACTGTGATGGTTTTAACAGGTCCACACTTTCTTTATACTCCTCCCTTCAGGAGATGGAGCTTAACTCCCCTGGCCTTGAGTGCGAACTGGACTTATGGACTTACCTCTAACACATGGAGTGTAAAAAGGAAAAGATCGTAGCTTTACAGCAAAGAAACCAGGCAGGCACTACCTTAACCAAGTGGCGGAGTTGAACATCTCCGTTGATAAGTGTTGACGACACGTGTGAGATGCAGTGAAAGGTGAGCTCCACCTGTGCGCCACGCTTCCCCAGAGTCTACAACTCCATTTCTAATCACCAGAAAACCTCGCAGTGATCCAGATGAAGGGACGCTGTAAAGATAACTCGCCACTACTCTTGACTTTTCCATGACGAGGCCGTGACAGAAAAGGAAAGAGTGAGGAGAAAAGTAAGGAGACACGACAACTAAATGCAACCAACTGACACCCTGGACCAGGTCCTCGAACAGAAAAGGAACATTATCAGAAAAACTGTCAAAATCAGGTTGAAGTCTGGAGCATAATGATTCAGGGTGTGCAGATGCTAATTTCCCAGCTTTGACAAATACAGCACGGATATGCAAAATGTGAACGTTAAGGGAAGGCAGGCGAAAGGTACATAGGAACTCTGAACTATCTTTACAACTCTCTGTCAAGCTATGATTATTTCAAAGTAAAAAGCTGTAACATTTTCTGGAGTCAGCAGTCTCTCCAGAGTGGTTAGCAGGTAAATTAATACAAGCAAGTCCATTTTCTATTTTATACATTTCTGGGTAAGGCTTTTTTTCTTCTTCTTCTTGAAACATAGCATTTATAATGAAAAATAATTCCATTTGGATTTTTAAAAAGCCACTCCAGGAACTGAGTATATGGAGAAAAGCTAACCGAAGAAGAGAGAGTATCTTTGCTTGGGACAAAATTACTGAGAACTTTCAGCATGCTTTGAGTCAGTAAAGGTGCTGTTTAGATTCTGGAGTGTGGTTAAGGCTTGCAGAACAGCAACGGCACAGAGCACGGTTACTCACCAAGGTGACTTTCCTCTGTGGTCTCAGCAGCTTGGGTTTATGGAACGTGGCAGCTATAGGGGCTGTGGAAGCAGAGCAAGGGTTTAGCCTCAACCCCCTCAGGACTCCAAATGCTCACCTGTTATGAGCATCCTGGACATACTCCACACAGACCCGCAGACCTCCTCCTGGACCCATGGAAGAACTCCAGGTTCTGATCATTGGGTATCCCATCCAGGAAATGATGATCCCCTAATCTCTGGACGTGTCGTTGTCTCCTCTCAGGAGGTCAATAACACAACTCTGGTCAGGTGTGCAGCTGAGGACGCGGTGAGCCTGGCAGAGCCTGAGGCTGGTACGTGCCCATAACACCCATAGCGATGACCTCTGATCCTCACAGCAGCCCTGTGAGGTCATCAGGGAGGAAACTGAGGCTCCTCCTCTAGTCTGTAAACAATGTGGGACTTGAACGTGGCATTGAAAGCCGGGGTCTGCCACTTAGCTGCTAAGTCTCGTGTTCATCTTTCATAAGGGAGGGTAATTACTCCTCTGGAATGAGTGAGACAACATAGCAGCACGACGCGTGGCCTGGAGCAGGTGTTCTCTGCACCTTCCCACCCAGATCTACACTTTCGTGCCTCCCCAGCACGCCCCAGCTTCCAGCCCTCACTTTGGCTTCACCACCACCAGCGTTCACCAGAGGCCTTTAAGGGTCCCAAGGAGATGTCACGTGAAGCCACCATTGAGGGATAAAATGTACACTATGGTGTTATTAAATTGTTCACTTGGGAAATCCTCATGTTCCCAACTATATTCCAAATTTGTTGAGGTATGAACATCTCCTAACTGGCCAGTTTTTTTAGGAATGCTCTAGAGACAGTCTTGGTTCTCCTTTGCCTAATACAGTTCTTTCCTTCAACACCCATCGTCCTCACTTACGCTGCTCTAAATCATAACTGGAATCATGAAATAACCATCAGTTTTATCCCCAGAGCAAATGCAAAGTAAACTGCACACCTGGTGGATGTCTTTATTTTTTATTTTTTAATTTTTTTAAATTTACTTTTATTTTATTTTACTTCTCAAAATACAATGTACTTGATTTTCATGCCCCTTTACCCATTCCTCTCCCCTGGTGGATGTCTTTAAAAAATGTCAGAGAGCCTGCCTTGCTGTGAACAGATGAAGACAAGACGTGCACACCCCCTGTCCCACCCCACCTTGTGTAGAGCGTTTTAATAGCTCAAAGTGAAATATGATGTGGAATCATCTGTGTGTGTTGATCCTCCCCCTGTTAAAGCTATGCTGGGCCCCTGGCACCACCCCCACCCCAGGGACAGGGCTGAGGGCTGAGACGGTCGAGCATTGATTATGACCAGAATCCAGGTGGAGTCTCCAGGCCATATAACCACTGAATGGCACGTCCTCCACCTGCCTGCTCTCCCATCCTGATCCCACATTGAGCCCCAAACCTGCCTCTGGATCAGTCTTGGTGGCTTCCATGTGGGAAACTGCAGGCCAGCTTCTTCCTACCTTTGGCAGGGATGGCAGGAGGGACGTCAGCCTTCTCCTTCCGCCTCTTGCCCTTCTTGGGCTGCAGTGGGGCCAAGCTGGTCACACTGGTGACGGTCTCCCCTGAGCTGTAGAAGAAAAAGGTTCTGGTGAAGCCAAAGGCAGGTTTGTTGCAAAGGGGAAAGGGAAAGGAACCAGTCATTTGTGAGTGCACCCTGTGTACCTGTGTAAGGAAGGGCTATCTCACAGCTGGGCTGGGCTAGATCTACGCTTATCTCCAGGGATGTTGGAAGTCTATACTGATCCTTGGCCAAGATAAAGAGGATAAGATGAGCTAGTCAGTGATTTATAATGTGCTGTTTAAAGTCCAAAGTTCCCTGGAGGGACCCCAGGACCAGCCTGGCTACCTTGTTTAGGGATATA